ACACCAGAAACAGAGGCGTAGTTTCCTTTTGTGGTTTCCTTTCAGTGTGGGATGTGGGAGCAAGGCGAAGGCCAGGAAAAGGTGCTCCAATGTGCCTCCCAAACTCTTGCGGCCAAAGAAAAGCACTCATCCCCCTGGAAACTCACAGGCCTTGCATGGAAATGTGCCAGGGAAGGGATTCGATGGTGGGCTACGAATAAGCCAAATTACGTCATGATCAAAGCGCAAGAATGTGTAATATAGTGATTTGGTCCCTAGCACAGCAAGCCTGGGCCAAAGAGTCTGCGTGAAAAGAATTATCCTATTCGACTCGTTCCTTTGTCTAGGGGCCGTTCCTTCTGAAGTGCCCTTAAGGTTCCCCTGCCTAGTGAATGAGGGTGCCGCACCATGGAATCCGAACGGGTCCATCAATGGGGGTTCCAGAAATGTGTGGCACCAAGATGGGTGACGGCCATGATGTGTGGCACTAAAACCACGCTGAATGGGATCCAACTATAGCTTTGACACACACACACACACCCTCGTGTTTGGACATGCCTACCTCCCCTGACACTTTGCCCCGCCTCCCCTCCCGCAAATCAGACACTTGGTCAACGTTCAACCCTAAGCCTAGGATTAACATTAAGTTCTATCATCATGATGATCATGCTATCGACTTCGCGTCTGCCCACACTGCCAGTACACCCGGATTGAAAAATATGGGTGTGGGTCAATATTCTGGTGTGGAACGTTCCGCGGTGACGCGGACGTCTGGAACGAGTCAGTTACGCAAGGCTGGTTGTTCCGGACCTCTGGGAAGACATGTGTGGAGTCCTCAAGCACACGTTCATTTAGTGTAAGATGGATAGATGGATGGATGAATGAATGGGTAGATGGATGGATGAAGCGATCAGGGGCGCGCGGCCGTACGATACGGCACCTCCTTGAAGGCTTCTTCAGCGGCATGGCGGGCCGCGTAAGAAGCGTAGCTACTGTGCATGTGGACTTGGTGGCAAATTGCTCCGCTGCGTCTGGAACACGTCTGGAACGGGTCTGGAACGGGGTCTGGAACGGTTACGCGAGTGGCTTGCACTTGGTAGCAAGCTGCATGTAAACATGGTCGTTTCAACAATGTGACGACCGAGAGCGGTATCGAACCGTTACCGTACCGTATCGAACAGATTGCGGCGGGGTTGACCTTTAACATTCATAGGCCGTTCCAAAAACACATCTGTCAACAGGACCGTTGCTTAGTTCCATCCAAGTCCCAATAATTACAAGCCACGCAGCCCCAACTACCAAAGCTCGACAAGCAAAACCCATCGTTAGCACCTCAGGCTTCTCTCGAACACCAGCCTTAACGCGTAAACGGAGGTCTGGATCGCATGTGGGTTCCGGACCCTGTTCCGGACCTTATAAATTGACTCGCAGCCATATGAGGCCCATACTCCTTAACCCCCCCCCCAAAAAAAAAAAAAAAAACTGGTGATGGACCCCGCTGCGGGCGGCCGAAACACAGAGATCCACAGAGATCCGAGTCCGTTTCACTCGGCGCCTCAGCGTGGACTTCAGAGCGCAGCTGCCCTCAAAGAGCCGCTGCTCGGGCACAGGGATGCCCGTGGCAGCCTTGGGCTAGGGGGGGTTTGGGCATGGGTGGCTTCACACATCCCAGGGAGTTGGGTGTTCAGATGTCTTCCCTGACTGACATATTGGGTGGGAAATTGAAAGCCATCCATCACCCCACTCTTGGGGGCAACTGCGGCGGTGCAGGCTGGGGCACCCAGATCTTGACCGTTGCTCACATCAAGGAAGCAGCTCCCCCCCCTCCCCCGCCCAGGCACCTCTATGGCCAATTTGAGCTCGTCAATGCTGGACCTTGTGATTTCCGTTCGGTGTAGCTGAATTGAAAAGAGGGCTACATGGGCATTCATGGAGACATGGGAATGGGTCGCATGGGCTACACTGGAATACGAACTTGCATGGGTCGCGTGGATTTTCGGATCACAAAATGGAGCTGAAATGGGCTGCATGAGCTGATGTGGTTCCGATTGATTTGCTGGTGCGGGTAGTTGAGGCAAACAGGGGATTGTTGCCCTACATGGCAAGGGTCGTTTCTTTCAGGTGCGTGTGTGTGATCGACTTCAGCAAGGCAGAATATCGCAAAGAAGCTGCTGCCCCAATCGAATGCGGCAGACTTGGCCGCAGTACCTTGTGAAGGAGCGGTCTCCTTCTGGGGGCTTGTCAAAACTTTTTTTGCCGACACACCAATGGCCCCAAGCTTGACACACTGACAGGTGGAACTTGGTATCTGCTCAAGCCTTTTTCTAAATGTGCCCTTGACAAAGAAAGCCAAATGGAGCTTGGCAAGGGTCCAATGTTTCTGCGGCGTGTCGACTGGAAAGTTGTTTCAAGCTGAGAGCCGCCCATCATTCTTTGGTGTTCGTTCCTCCATCATTTCTGCCTGCGTGTGCGTGCTCCTTCTGACAACAGCACAAACACACACACACACAAAAACGAGAAACACACACACACACACACACACACCCGCACACCCGCACACAGGCACACACACACACTCGCACAGGCACAAACACAGACACTGACACGGACACACAGAAAAACAGACACAGACGCGGACAAACAGAAATACAGAGGTACAGAGGTACAGAGACACAGACACAAAAACACACAGACAGACAGACAGACAGACAGACAGACAGACAGACAGACAGACAGACAGGCAGGCAGGCAGACAGACAGATAGACAGACACAGACAGACACAGACAGACACAGACAGACACAGACAAACACAGACAGACACAGACAGGCACAAACAGACACGGACACAGATACACCCGTCACCCGTCTCGTCACATGTCACTATCCTAGTATGTCCACAAAGCAATCTGAGGAAAACCCTTAGCTTCATTAATTGGGTGTTTCCAAACCAATACTTCTATCCCAGAGCATGTGTAGTCTTTGGAGGGGGACCCTCTTTGGATCCCAAATTGGCGTGCAAGGAACATCACCACTACAACACTTGCAAAGGCTTGCGATTCCTGTTCATCAATGGGTGTGTGTTTTGTTGAGGCTATCCTTCATGGAAACGTTTTCCAAGGGAAGCCAGACCCTCCTTCTTCCTTCCTGCCCCCTGCCACCGACTTCCCTGGATTTCGGCCCGCCCAGATTTCCCCTTTCAACCGGAGGGCTGCTTAGGGATGGACACGCGGCACAACAAACCGCTCATGCCGTTGATCTCCAGGTGGAGCATCTCGTCCATGGCGTTGAAGCCCGCACTCTGGAGGGTCCGGAGGGTCCCTTGAAAGGGACCCAGTCACAAAACCTGTCCGTTCATGGAGTGTTGGCCAATCCTAACCCACAACTCCTATTGGAAAACCACAAAGCAGCTAACCCAAGGGGTGCCTGAATGAAGCCGGTCTTTTGCTGGCCCCCTGGCACAGAAAATGAAAACAAGAGGACCCAACACGCTTCACCTTCTTGGAGAAGTTAGAACCTTTTTCCTTAAGCCTCCTCCCACGAATAGTTGCAAAGGGCTACCTCGTTGAACGCGTGTTTGGGATTTCTGGCCTTTACAAAAGCATACAGTACGCATCATAGGTAAGCATTGCTTGCTGCATATTCACCACAACGACTTGGCTGCAAAAGCGTGAGCTTGCCCAAAACAGGCTGTCACACTTGTGGGCGTGTGTCTGCGTCTGTGTCTGTACATCTGCGCATCCGTGCCCGTGAGTGTGTGTCTGCATCTGTGCTTGTGCTTGCGTGCCCTTTGGGGCAGTGGGTGTGTGGGTGTGTGTGTGTGTGTCTGCGTGAATACTCGTGTCGGTGTTTCCTTGTGCGTGTGTGCTCTGACTTCCATTTCAGGCTAACCCCTACAACTGGGGCAAATGTTCCCCTTATCTTCTTTCTGTCTCAGCCCTGGAGCCTTCCACCACTACGCGGGCAAATCTCCGAGGCGTCGTTCAGACAACTTCGCATAAAGTCGTGGCGCCTCATTGACCATGGCTTTCCCGTGGAGAAGCAGCCATCCGCATTTTGTGGGCTTGCTTTTGAAGGGTCGCCCACGTACAAATGGAAAACCGCATTGGCCACAAACGGCCTTCGCCACTCAAGGCCCGTTGGCTTGATTGCACCGTGCTTGGACTTAGAGGAGGGGGTTTGGGGCTCTCCAAAACAGTTCGTTTCAGACTAACGTTCTCAATTACCATTGCATATTGCAAATCGTACAATTTCAAGTTCGCCTTTCAACAAATCAAAACAACTCCGTGAGCTATTCCACCTAAATTCCATACTTACCAACTTGCTATTTTAGTCAGTGACCGTGCGCCTGGCAAAGGGTACCCCATTGAAAAAGAGACCGACGCAGAACCCCTGGAACGTGCGCCCTTTTAACAATTTCTGCGTGTTCAAACTGTGAGCTCACATTGCTAAGACGAGCCGATGCATGATGAAGGTCAAATCTACTTGGTGCAGGTCGGCTTTGGAATTTAGCCTCCCTGCCACAATATTGAAAGCCGACAGGGGGGTTTTGGAAGATGGAAGGTTCATGAAATGTCTTCAAAGCAAAATTTCCCCATTCCTCATTTGGATTAACTTGCCCTTCCAATTGCCACTACAGTTGGTAACCAGGGGAAACCATTGTACAAAACCTGTGCAGGAAAAGATGCTTTGCTTCCTGCCATGTTGCTACTGTCAAGCCCGGATTTGTCAACCTGCTGTGTTTGTTGTCTGTTGGTGGGGGGGGGGTCCCCCAAAGAGTGATCCGCATCTTTAGGCCACTCTGGTCATTCATCTGGAAGTTGATCAATCCTGGGTTTCTGTCATAGGTGGGCGGTAAATGGTAGGTCATCAAGGGAGCCACTGCGTCAAAACATTTCGCAAGCCAACATAACCGTAACGATTGTCATTGTTGCGGAACAAAGGTTGACTCATCCTGGGTTCCCTTCAACTACATAAATGGGTCAGCCAACCCCTCCAAAACGGCCCCCTCTGGGCGCCGGGCACAGGCAGCGTGGTGCTTGCCAGCCGGAAGTCAAAGCACTGGAGAATATGAGGGCACTCCTGTGACTCCCCAACCTGCCCGGGGGTAATTCTAGGGGTACCTTCCCCATTCTTTCCAGGGATCCTTCTTTCCAAAAAACCTCACAAAACCCAGGGAAAACGGCCGGTTATTGAAAAGAAGGATGGTTGAAAAGAATGGGAAGCAAACCCTACAGTAATGTTGACGTTGGATTCATAAACCGTTTGAATGGGTGCCCCCCTCCAATAGGTAACGACCCCCCACACACCAGCACTCCTATTCGTCAACCGCCAGGGGGTTATGAATCTGGGGTTCCCATTGTCATATAACTCCTTGGGAGGTTGAGGTTGGGTCCCCGTGGTTGCTTTTTCTGCATGCTTCATTGACAAAGGCTCCCCTCCAAAACACATTGTGGGCCAGCAACAACTCGTTCCCACGTCAGGTGTTGCTTCCCAACAGTGCAAGACAAACTCACAAGGTGTCACTTCTGAAACTACCCTCCCTCCAAGCATGGAAGCTGACGATCGGATTGGAAGACCAAAGCTTTTCTTTTGGGGAAGCCCCGATTTTCCACTTCCTTCATTCGAGGGAGGGTGCTCAGACTGTCCTAGGCTAAACATCCATCGATCGCCGACATCCATCGACAAAGGGCGTTACAAAAAAAAACAAAAAACCGCGCAGGCCCCACTGTCACCATGTTGCTTGGACCAAACAACTGAATAACATCCGATCAAAGGGAGATGTGAACTGAAGCAAGCAAAGCTTGGAAGGACATGAACTCAGAACATTTGTCCGACTTGCCCTTCCAAGCGGAAACTCTCTCAACAAAATATGTCCAATTCACAGCTCATGGCACCGTCTTTAATGAATAGGCTAGTGGCACATTTGCACTATTCCGCCTATTGAATGCAAGAAGACCAGCAATTGCAAGGAACAGGCCCCTCCCTGCCCCTGGAGCTCCCAGGAGAAACTTGCAGCCAGACCCCCCCCCAGCCCTTCCTGGCTGAGGCGCATCAAGAGCTGAGCCTCCTCTTGCGCCTTGTCGGAGGCAACCTGAAGGAGAATCTGGGCGGGAACAAGTCATATGGGCTCGTCTTTGTCGGAGGCTTCGTACCCCTTTTTTGGTGAATCCAAAGGGACACCAAAAGGAGAACCACCAATTCACACCTGTATAGAACCCTAGATCTGTTGGCAATTTAGTGAATGAATGGGGAGTACTAACTAAGCTCATGGTAGGAATAAAAGGAGTTCTCGTGCCCCATGTTAGAGGGGGTCCTACTCTTGTGCTGAATCTGCGACCTAGGTTTATTTATCCAGGGTGAACATGAAGCACACAGAACAAGTGCATTGGGCTTTTGCTCTTGGCAAGCGAAGACAGAAACATAACGACACATGTCTAAAAAAAGGTTCATTTCAAAACCGGCCGCGCCAATAAACCGGGACAAAAAACCAAAAGCGACGAAAGAGTAGCGCGCGTTGCTTTGGGCAAAAGGGCCAAGTTCACCTTGACATAATCCAAGCCATCGCTAGGTGACGGCGGCTGGAGTAAAGCCAGCATTCCAGGCTTTGGCCGATTTCAGGATGTATCTTGAAGGAACTCGTCGCCCCACGTCGACGCTTAGAACTCGAACCTTTGCGGGCCAATGGAATAAGGAGACCCAACATGGCCAAAGGGCCCGCAATAGCTACCCCAAAAACAGCTATACTTTGCTCCCCGCAAGAGGTTCAGAAATTCCTGACAAGGGATATTGACCTGGCAAACATGGAAACTGATTTGGATACTGTTCCGCCCATCAGAATCTTCTACTTCACGTTGAGCAACCCTCAGTTTTGTCAGGAACTTTGTTGCCATGTGCTGTTTCATTGGGTCCGTTTAACACACGCTCAAGGGAGAGGCCGGCAACTTTTGGAAGACTCCAAAGGCATCAAAATGTCAGACTGGGGGCCCTTTGACTTGCTTCGTTTCGATTCCTGTCACATGACAGGGTCGGTGTTGCAGCATCCAGAAACGCATTCCTCAGGCTGGCCACGGCCACAGTTTCTGCTTCAAACGGTGACTACCCTTATACCCAAACTACCACGTGAGATAGTCAGCTCAAATCCCTGAAGGTTGGATGACTGGCCCCACAGCTCCGAGCTGACCACATGACCACATGACGGGCTTGCTACGTTCGACAGGGCCTCTGCCATGGAGCGCGCATGGCTGACACCCATCCAAATCTGACTTCTGGCTTGACAATGGGCAACAGGCCAAAACATAGTTCGGCAACACTTGGGCTATGATGGGCTAAGCCAACAAAACACCAAGCACCCACCAGCGTTTTTTCCTCCTCGCCTCCGAGAGCTGGCCCACGCGCGCCTCGTGAAGCTTTTTGGCCAAGTTCGCGGTGCAAAACAAAAGTTGACCCCTGCACAAAATGCGAATCTAACTTCTCTGAGGTCCTCCAGTAGAGAGGTTAGAATAAGGGTACCTGATTTTTTATGTTGTCTAATTTAGCAGGGGAACCCCCCCACTACTGGACCTAGTTTCTTGCTGGTTAGATAGGCAGGGAATAAGTTGGAACGACCCTGGAAAAAAACACACACACACACACACATCCCTCTGGTGTTCTTTTGGGAACATTCTCAACACCCGCAAGATCAGTCTCTAGTGAGCACCAGCAACTTTTGGTGACATGCCCCTAAGTTGGGTGACTTGTGCTGGCAAATGCCAAAGAACTATGAATGGTTCACAGGCGTAGCCATATCCAGGGCGAATACGGCAAGGCAAATCGACAGTTGTGGCCGCGCGAAACCTTGCAAACATGTCAATGAACAAATTCCGGACTTGGGAGTCACGTCAAGCCGTTAAGCTGTGAATTGGTACAGGATGCAATCTGTTTGTGCCTCAAACCCGCCACCCCTGGAGTAATGACGGCGTGTGCTACGCTTGAGCAGCTTACCACATGACTGGCATGCTTGAGTGATCCGAGTGACATCAGCTACTAGGTCCAAAATGGCAAGTCTTGAAATCAATATTTTCCAAAAAAGAAAGTCTGGAAAACGAATCGTTTCCAAAAAAGAAGGTCTGGAAAAGCCCATGTTTTCCAACAATTGCAAGTCTGGAAAACCTATCTTTTCCAACAATTGCAAGTCTGGAAAACCAATCTTTTCCCAGAAAGAAAGTCTGGAACATCCATCTGGGCCTTCCCTTTCGGCCCTTCACCACACGGGTCTGGGCGTCTGCGCCCGCTTCAGCGCCACCAGCTGGCCCTGCGCCTGGCGAAAGGATGGGCCCAGGAAAACCTCCGAACCTTTCATGTACCACGAAAATTGGGGCCAAAAAAAAAAGGAGGAAAACTTAGTTGTCACGAAAATTGAGGCTAAAAAAAGTTCGGACAATTTTTGGCTTCCACGAAAATGACCCGGACCCAAGAAGTGGTTAAAGTCCAAGAACTCAGGGAGTGAGTAGTGTTCACGACCAGGACTCTAATTTGCCCAGAGAGAATGAAGGGGGTGAATGCGTGTAGTTTTGGTTCACGCACCTCTTTCATCGAAGGCATGCGAGAGATGATGAGATGAGTCCTTTTCTTGCGCGCTTTGCCTCAAGTGTGGAACGGGCACTGGGGCAAACGCCTTTCATACTACATGTTCAAAGTTTCAGTTACATTCGGAGATGCAACATCAAAGCTGTTCATGCAGAGCATGGAAAGCCGGGCAGTGCCCGGAAGACCGCGCAAAACATTTTGGCGATTGCTGTTGACGTCCTATAGGAATTGGTTGCAAGTGTTTCAGACCCTGTCGTGCTTGCCATTTTACATGCTTGAATGTAACATTACGTGCAAAATTGACATGCCGTGGGGGGCTTGAACCGAATGCCACTGACAAGGCCGGAACCTCGTGCTTGATGGGACAAGTTCAACATATTCGATGAACTTTCTTTTGGTGTTCTCCAAAGGGAATCCTTTGGAATGAAAGCAACAAACAGCATGGATGTCGAACAAAGCTCTTTCTGCAGGCTGGAATGTGCGATCTCTCACCCCACGCTGTTGCTTCGGTAAGTTCTCCCTGGGATGAGCCTCAACGGGAATGCGGGGTGCGCGAGGTGAGCTGGGCATACATTGTTGCCCACTGGCCATTGAGGCAAACGGAGAACCCTCTTTTGATTGATCATGACGTGGGTAAAATTAATCTGAAACAAGGAATGGGAACAGCCGTCCAAGAAGCTTTGTCAAGCCCAATTCAGGCTACTCGTGCAAATGGGGCCAATGGGAAATTCACCAAAACCAGCAAGTTTTGCCGCAAAAATCCCTGCCGCCCCAAGAGAACATCCCGACACTGGGTGCGCAAACAATCATGACACTGACACGGAGAAAAGAACGAGAACATTTGGCATTTAGACGCTGCAAAAAAACGAATTACAACATAAACACTAATTATGCGTAACAAACGTTTGAGAAACCCATGGCACCAGAGACTGGGTGACTTGCATTGCGTGAAATCAACCAACGTCAAGCAACGCCTCCGGCACTCGTTTGTCGCCCACGCCGCTTCTGGCAAGGGGGTGCTAAACTCTCCTCCAGCAACTTGGTTGCGGCGGATGTTCTCGGATCGGATGGGCGCCGGATCAATTCATGGCAGATGTGTACCTGAACATTGCACGCGGTAACTTCAATCAGGTCCTCAATGGTAGTGGGAACCAACCAGAGTCAGCCAGTCACCTGAGGATTCTGTTTTAAGTAAGAAGAACCCCTGGGAATCAGGCGTCCAACCATGTCCCCACAGTGGGTGGGGCAGGCGGCTGAGATATTCTCGGGGCCGCCGTCTGTGGGCTCTGGCAAACAAAGGCTGCCAGCGCCAAGCACAAAAATTTAACCAGAGTCAACCAATTCAAGTTCACGAAGACGATGTCTTGCTTTGCGCGAGGGAGCCACGTGCCATACATCCACACTCTTGATAGGACTTCAGCGTGTTCAAAGAGGAGTCTTGCCAACCTCCAGAAACAAACTTCTTTGGCTTTCAGTGGTTCCCGCGCCCTCCTTTTAAATGCCTTGGGCAGCAAGTCCAACTACCAAGAATTTTTATACCGCATCCATCCGTCCTGGGCTTCCCCGAAAAAAGGGTGAACAACAGTCAGACTTAGCACCCCAAGGAAGTCGATCCCGCGGATCCCGCGCGGATCGCGCGGATCCCGCGCAGATCGGATCGCAAGGGCTGACCCCTCACCGGCGCTTGGCAAAGTTCGCGTTGCTCCGCTCCAGGATGCGAACCCGCTGCACCTCCGCCTGACGAAGTCTATGGCGCCAAAATGGGCGTAGGGCCAAAAAAAAGCCCTAGGTTGTTTTTTGTGATTGCGTGTTGTGTGTTTGTTGTTTTGTGCTTGTGTGTGTTTCTGTTTTGTGGCTTGTGTTTGTGTGTTTGCGTATTGTGTGTGTGGTTTGGGTGTTGGTTGCGCGTTTGCGCTGTTTGTGTTTCTGCTGTTGGTGTTTGTATTTTGTGTTAGCGCTTGTGTCTGGGTTCGTCTAACTGTGCCCCTCTTTCTTGTCTCATTGAATGCTAAATCCGAGAGACAAGACACCGCTCACCTTGGGTCACGCCACGTATTTTGAAACACACCCAAACAGACACCACGACGCTGAACTGCCAACAGAAACGCCGGCTCCCTCAAGGCCGGGTCCCGCGCCATACTCATGGGATCTTTGCGGAAGCCCGACTTCCAGCCGCAGGCGCAGGTGGGCTTCACGTCGTCGCCTGGGTTGTTTTTGTAGTTTGAGGAAAGCACCGGGGGCAAAATGGAGGTTTAGAATCTGAAAGCGCATGGTGTTTCCTTTAGTTCTCCGGGAGAATCAAGGATGGGTTATTTTTTAGTGCCCTGCCAAGAACCGGCAACCGCAAAAAGCCACAGGAGGAACGAAACCTGCTTGGGGGCTCTTAGCAGGGTTCTGAGAACCGTCCTAGAGGCTGGGTCGGAAATAGGAGCCAGCTGGCTTCAAGGAACCCAAAACGAAAGCTGCCATTCATGCTTTGGTGACTTTGAGACCACACGCGCGTCTTCCAAAAGAAACATTCAGAAGGAAACCAAAGGGAGCCTTGGAATCACATGGGTGAAACGGCCAAGAAATGGTCTCCTGTGTGGGGGAGAAAGCTAGTTTGATGTGAAGATGTAGGGTAGAAAAAAGTGAAACCGCAAGAGAACGTGATCGTCTGGGTTCCTGTCCTTTGGAAAAATGCGAGACACGCGGCCAACCTGGTTTGCCACTTGGGTGCCCTGCTATGCGCCCTGCTATGCTAAATGGGATGAAGTCGCTTGGATGGAGTCCGGCTACTTGACACCAAATGGCCCCAGTTTGCAAACCAAAGGTGAGAACCGAGGCCCGTTGCGGGTAGGCCATCAACACAGCCCCCCCCCCCGCCCCCCCCCCCCGAATCCAGCCGAGTCACTCTGCACGCTTTGTAAAGCGTCATGCTGCGCCAGCCATTGGCCCACCTAATGGCCAGGCGAAACGAGCCCTTAGGCTGCTCACAAAAAGCATCCCCTTTTCTTGGGGCGTGCAGGCAAAGCACAAGGAAGCCAACAAAAGGAAGCCAAGACATGGACTACCTGGTAATAACCCCGAGGCAGTAAAGGGCAAGCAAAGCCTAACTGGCAGGGGATGCCAGGCACAGCACATGGGCCACACGTTTGAACCTGTTTGCAATGTGTGGGACACCGTGCCAGCCTTGGGCGGGGGGTGGGGGGGGGGGCAAGTCTTGACTCAATCATGGGGCGAGGGTTGCCGGATTACAACATGTTTACAAGTCGGTTTCTCGCTATTTCGGAACACGTCCAGTTTGCAAATAAGCAATTCCGGACGCGCTCCCTGTAGGTAAAGCAGTCATCTAGTCTGGTACCTTGCTTTCCAACTTGGGCATTGCTTGTCGGCCATGTCTGCCAGTCGGGACATGTCATGGCGTAGTCCATGCAAGTTGCCAAGCATATTGTGCCTGTCAGGGCATGGCATGGCGCAGTCCATTTGATTTGCTTTGCAGTTTGTTGCAGATACAAGGTAGTCCGCGTACTGTCCTTGGCATCTTCCGCCAGCTAGGGTCGGTCTGCCAGTCTGCGCCTTTTTGCTAATCAGGGCTGTTCGGGTGTAGTCGATGTGCTTTCCATCAGTCAGGGCGGCTGCCCGCATCAATACTTCTTCTTGGTCATCGCAATCAGTCATACTTGGCTGCGAAATCGCTTTTGAGAATGATTGCCAAACCGAGTTGACGGGATTTCCTTCAAGTGATATGTTCCCAACACAATTAAGTAGCGAAGATTCCGGGCCCATTCCGAGTCCCAGAGCGGTGGGTTATGTTCTGGTGTCACCGTGGTGTCCAGGCGTTGCCATTGTTGCCTGGGTTTGTGTGAAAAACCGTGCTACTTCTACTTCTCACACACCCAAACCTTTTGTGACTTCTGGACTAATAACGAACCAACCTGGAACAACCAAAAGGTCGATTTGCTTTGAGACTTGGGCATTTCCGATTTCATGACATCTCCGATTTCGCTGAGACCGGCCTGCTGCGGCGTGGTGGGCGGCCAAGCCGGGCCTCAAGCTCGAAAAAGGGGCGAACATGGGTTATATAGTGGATGGATTGTGACTCAGGGGCGAGGGTATTCCCTACCCAAAATATAACCAAAAACTCGATTCAAGTCTGAGCCATCAACCACTCAGCTGCCGGAATGGCTGCGCCCCCGGCAAAACCAGAGGACTGGAAACAAGGGACACTGGCTACCCACTGGATGGACGAAATCCTGCACCAGCTTGAAACCATGGGAGCCCATTGTTTGTTGGCGTTTACAGGAGAATCAGCAGTCCAGGGCTTCTTAGGCGGTGCAGCATTTCGTCCATCCACCGTATGGCTGTGGATCGTAATGGGGAAACATCTGGTGCGTGGGCAAAAATCCACCTAGGGTCATCAGTTCAAAAACATACTAAAATTTCTGAGACTAAATGAGATCCATCCTGATCGTGACCTCCAAAGATAAGAATCCACAAACGCCAAAACAAAGAACCCCGAAACAAAATTCCAACCTCACTTTGCTGGAAGCATTCAATCGCTACAACTAGCATGTGCCGGAGGTTGCTGTTTGCCGATCGAGTCTTGATATGCCTTCAACCAGCCTAGGGTCAGCCACCCCAGCATTTACGATAGATGCGTGTGATGTGTCTGTTTGTGTGATGTGATGTCATCTTATGTGATGCGAGGGAGTCTCTGTGTGCATGCACGCCAAAAGCAGCTCCATTGAGCAAGTCGTGGCAAATGATGGGCCAAATCCCAAGTCACAATATCAGTCACATTGGCAGCCAAGGTGCTCGCACTATCACCCTCCTGGCTGGACCCACTGGAGCGAGGAACGTAAAGGCTGGGAATCAACGATCGGGGTTGGAACAAGGGGTTGGGGGCCGGATAAACAAGCACGTCGAGCACGTGAAGTTCACCCTTCACCCAGTAGTTTCTTAAGTGGGCATCCACAAGTTGAGGGCCTTTCCTATGGGCCTTTTTGGCTCAGGAAAGCCCGGCCCAAAGGAAAGCCACTATTTTGTGGGACTTCCCTGAAACAAGACACGCTTCGAGCCGGGCTTCATGATTTGCACACGTGCGTCACATGGACATCACAAAAACGGCTGTGAACAAACATATCTTTGCCCTGTAGCCAAAATCCGTTCGACATGGGCCGCCTTTTGCTGTGGCCCAGGAGCCCGTGTTTCCTGATTCCATACTCGTGTGCTATAAGCCTACAAATTCCGAACAATCTTGATGAATGCTCGGGATTCCATTTTGCGTATGAAAAGCCTGCTCAAGATCTCTGGCCAGTTTTCATGTTTTACTGGGCCGGTCTGTTCAAAAGTCAGATTTTTGAGGCTCCTTGAGCTCTCCCTTCAAACTGCCAATGACTCGTTTTGTATAACACCTCAACACTTCGGAACACTTCGGAACACTTCGGAACACTTCGGAACACTTCGTTCCTCCCGTGTTCGTTCCTTTGTTTTGTGGGCTCATCAAATGCGGTGAACCCCGAAAAGGGTTCCAACTCTGGTTAGGGTCGGGCTTTGCCTCGGGTGCCGATTGCAAAACTTGCTGTTCGATAGGCGGGGAAGGAGAAATGAAATGACCCTGACGTAAACCATCCCCTATGGTTTCCTTTCAGATACCCGTCTGTACTGTAACTCGGTGTTGGCTCTGCATCCTTGCCGCTAGAACGCATGTGCCAACCCCAAAGTAATTCATAAAATGCAGAGCCAACCTCAGGACACTTTTTCGTCAGAATTGATTGAATGCAACAAGGCAGCCCCCATACCATAAGAAAAATACTGCAGGTCAATCACTGCATTTTGGAAAAGCAATTTAGTTGACAAAATGCGAAGTAGCAACTTCAGTCAAACCGTAGCCATTTTGTCTCAATGGCTCAAGTTGGCTCAGGTCCTGTTGGCTTTGGTGGTTTTCGGGCTGCCCCGGATTCTGGCCTTGTTTTGAATCTTGGCTGCAAAATATACCCTGGCTAACATGTGCCAAGTGAAAAACCTACAAAACCCGGGTAAAGCTGCGTGATCAACCTCCTAATCAAGGACAAAAAAAAACAATGCACGAGCCATGCAAAAAAAAGTGCACCCCGTGTGAGTGTGTGGTTGACCTGGTGCAGTATAGAAAATTGGTCTAGACGGGGGTCCTTTAAGGGAGTCCCCTTCTGGTTCATTCCCAAAACCCGGTCTCGTGCATTCCCTACCTATCGTACCAGAACGAAAACCCCGGTGACCCTCAGCACCATTTTTGAAGGGTAGCATCATCTTTTTGGACATGCTTAAATTTTCTGGGATTTGACCATATGGACGAAGACAACCCCTGCAAACGAAGAAAGAACCGGGAAAGCACGCCCACTGTTAGAGAAACTCCTTTTGGGGGCACCCCCTTTGGGATTCCGCGTCGATTTTTGTGCGGGAGTTCGGTGCCAGCTCCTTCTCACTCGATCGGCCTTCGCTTGGCGCAAAGCCTGGAGATACGGGGCGTGCCGAAATGGAGAGCAACGAAGGAGACGGGGCCGAGTAAGTACCAGATGCACAAAGCCCTAGCTGAATAGAGGGGCGTCCCCTTTTACTTGGGGTTCATCACATTTCGAAGGAAACACCGCCCTACCAATAGGACGGGTTTATTAATCCGGGTCTGTTTCAACAGTGTGGAAGTGAAAAGCAGCGGCTTTGTAAGACCAGTGTTTTGAGTCCACTTTGATTGTTGGAGACCTGGCAGGCTCGAATGAAGAAACCCCGACCCTCATGACCCAGTGCTTCCTATGCAACTTGGATAGTAGACTACAGTATCATAGCTTGGCTTTGCGCTTCCTGAATCGCAAGTGAGCGGTGCAAGCGCCGTTTCCAGGCGCTGTGCATGACTTTGCAATTTCCTGCCACATCATCATCAGCATCATCATCACCACCACCACCACCATCATCATCATCATCATCATTATCATTATCATCATCATCACAATGATCATCATCATTATCATCATCAGCATCATCATCACCACATCATCATGATCATCATCATCATCATCATTCATCATCATCACAATTATCATCGTCATCATCATCATCATCATCATCATCATCATCATCATCATCATCATCATCATCATCATCACCGTCGCGTTCCACAAGTGCGAGAGTCAACGTCGGTCGATCCCATGCCATCGTTCACTTCACCCATCATGTAGAAGTATTTGAATCCCAACCCTTGTAAGAACGCCCTACGAAAGTCTTATCTTAGGATATGCCGGAGCATGATTAGTGGCACGTGTCACAAAAACTCACGGTGAAGGCACGAGCCGACTTCGTAGATGTCATGTTGGTTCAATGGAGATTGTCCTTGACAAACAATATGTCTTCTTCACTTTTAATTTTAGGACAGCCACTCGCCAGCAGTTCGAAGCTGTTGGATGGAAGCACTGGCCAATTTTTGATGGTTCTCAATCGGACCGGCTCCGATATCAGTCTGGACAGGTGCACTTTCAAGTGCACAGCCAAGCAAGCGCTTCAGTTTGCCGGTGTTCGCTTTTGCTTCGCAGGTTTCAGCCCAAAATACATGAAGCTAAAAGACATGTGGCCCTTGATCCAGCCCTTGATCCTTGTTTATAGCTTGCTTGGCCTGAGTCTACTCCGCTTCTTCGGTGGAGGTAGTAGTGGGAAAACGTTTTTTGAATGTTGCCAATTTAAGAAAAGCATTCTGCTCAATAATCCCTGCACCTATTCATGTCGACACTTCCAATGATTCCAAAGCCCCCCCCCAATGAAACATGTGAGTCAGCCTACACGGGGGAAACGTTATGCCAGGCAGTTCCAAAAACAAATGCTTTGCGAATAATCCCAAAATGTGGCAAGAGTCAGCGCCAAGCGCCTTGAGGAGGGACATACGGGTGTGTCTTGTTTAGGGGACTTGACTCTCATATGTTGACGCGTTGCACACGCCAGTGAGGCAGTGTTGCCAGGCAGTAGCCTTGCGAGCCCTTTCGGGCTTCTGCAGTTTGTATGAACAGCCTTCACACACAACAAAGCAGCAAATGCAGAGCCAGGGTTTGCAGCTGTGTCAGCTAAGCCCGCGCTGCCTCGCGCTGACACTTTTTCAGTTCTAGATTTGCCGATTCATCATTGTACCGTTTTACAACTTTGTCGTTCTACCTGTGCACCGCGTGCAAGATCATCCCGCCATTTTACTTTTTCTGTTCGTACCACGCGGGGAACGAAGGAGGACCTAACCAACCCTCACGGGGAACCAGCACAGGAAATCAGCAAACCTGACACTGGTTGAGCCAAATGAAACGGCTGTGGGTCAAAAAAACAGTACCCCAAATGGAACCCTGGTAAGTGGAAACCAAAGACTAAATCCCGCGGTCCCCTGGTTTGATTTTGACCCATACATAACGCTTGCAGCAGCGAAGTAAGATGGAAAATGAAAGTCACTCTCCCCACGCCTTGGGAGGATGGCCATCCTTCCGGCAGCATCAGTTCCAGCTGCGACGGTCTGAGCGTCAGCTCCTGCCGGCCAAGCCATTTTCAAGTTGGAAAGGACGTGGGGCTCGCAAATGGCAAGAGTACAATCCTCCGTTCAGAATGCAAAGCTGGAACTTCTCCTTCTAACATTCGCATGGAAGCGTGCAATAAACAAAACAACTTCCTGGACCTTCAAACTCTGGGAAACGTCTGGGTGTCTCAGTGGTCGTTTCAAACCCCCTTCAAAGGCGGAAACCATTTTTCTCGGGAGGACGAAGGTCCAGGTAGTTGGCTCCATGGCGCAACGGAAGCACCGTCCAGCTTCCGACAGCTCCTCCAGGCGAGGGCTCGCAGAAAGGCTCCCGGAGACTTTGGACCTCGTGCTTTGGGTGAGCGTTGGCAAGGCAACCACATGGCAACCCAAAACAGACTTCAACCTGGGAAACAGATGCCCCAAAAACAGAAACAAAAACAGAAGGAATGGGTCGAAATGGGTGATACAGCCAGACACTTGCCGGATAGAAAGTAGAAGGGTCTATGGTCTATGCCATCCACTTTCGGGTTCCTGGTGGAAATCCAAAAAGCATGGGAAATGGTTTCCTGAAACAGCTGACAAACAACTGCAACACCGTTACTGATGTGCTTTGAAGTATTCACATGCCGCACAAGCCTGTCTTGTGGTAGCTCAAGTCTGGCGGTTTCAAGTCAAATGCTTGCTGGGTCAAGCATCTTATTGACCCAACCAGGCATTGCCATGTAGCAACAGGTGTCCTCTTTCCAACCAAGATTCTAGGGGTTGATTCCCCATTCTTTTTAATCATCGTTCTGTTCAAAAACCGGCTGTTTCCCCCGGGTTTTTGATGGTTTCCTGAAAAGAAGGATCCCTGGAAAGAATGGGGAAGGTACCCCTAGAAAGATGGCAGTCTTCCAGAGCCCCTATTCGATCACTTCCGAATGAATTTTGGCTAAAAAGGGCAGCCACAAGAAACAAGACAACATGCGAGGGCACATGGCTTCTGCGAAGCAAATTGGGTGTTCCTGCCGTTTTGGCCTGCAAGTTGAAGCAAATCAACATGCCACTTTGCAAATTCTCCGCCCAACAATGCAGAGCAGGGCAGAACGTCTGATGTGTGCAGCGAGGGGAGACGAACCTAGACGCAACCAACCAACCGACTCACTGGCCGACCAACCAACCAGGGCAACCAAGACGCAAACAAAGAAATGATGATACAGTGAACCAAACCGGCGGCAAAGAAGCAGTGAGCAAGAAAGCACCCCAACCAAGCAAGCAAACAGGCAAATCAACTCTAGAATTCGCTGCCAGGAGACACCCTTTCAGGCCTTTGCCCACGTTCACACAATTCAAACACAACCTCCCTGAAAGCTCAGCAATCAAATAACGCCCTATGTCAAAAACTGCCGACAGGCACGACGCAAATGAGCAATCCAACAAAGGCCCAGTGACAGAGGAGCGCTCAAACGCCGAGCAACCCCAAGGGCCAACACTCCTATACACATTCAGGGCTAAATATATCACGCGGGGTTTCATATTGTCGTGACCAGTTGATACCAATTGTGTGTTAGCGTAACCCAACAATTGATTCATGTTAACTTCGGACTGATCCGGAGGACTCTAATTGGTATCAACGCAATCCTTCATGTAACTCGCCAGACTGTGTTTCGCTGCTAAAAGGGGTGACTAGCCCGGTCCTCCGGATGAATCAAAAGGTTGATATATTGTTCAGCCCAGATTCGTGATGGCATCACAGCTGGAGGCGAAGTCTTCGAAAAAAGGCAGCACTTTTGCCTGAAGCAACCAACCAAAACATCTTCCACGTCAGGGGCGAGGGGTGGCTATTTAAAGGTCCCCTTAGTTTGTCAAAACAAAAGGACGTAACTAGTATATGTAAGATAAGATGCGTTGCCTACACATACGCAGACAAAGGTTGAAGAAGCAAGCTGGCCAGACAGGTTTTGACAACTGAAAGGTCCATCTCTTATGTTTTTGAGTTAGTCTGGTGATGGGTTGGCCTGGTTCCATCTAGACCCCTGGTGGTCAGAGAAGAGAGGGTGTGCCTCCGGATGGGGAACCCATGGCATACTTGCGCAGCTGCCCTGTCAGGGTATGCACGTCACCTTAAGGGCATAGCCGTGGGTGGTTGGGGGTGTGGAGCCCATGGGGAAAAGGTAAACAAAGCTCTAGGTTTGTTCTGGTCAACTTTCTTAGCATGACAATCCATGAAGCCCTCTTCCGAGTTGCGCAACACAAACGCTGACAAAGCCCCTCTAGACATACATAGAGACCTTTGTAGCATTTCATATCAGCAAGCGCCGCTGTTGCGCACAGGCAAGGGCGTTCAATGCCCTCCGAAGTGAGCTCAAAATGAAGTGGGGTGCAAATTTCCCGCTCGGACAAGTAAAGCGTTCGAATCGTGCCAGGGTTTGCCTTCGCGTCTTCCACCCCATAGAAGGTGAAAAAGAAATGGCCCTCCCTGCTTCAAATGGGTCAAACGGCTCCCTGTCTGCCCGCGGAGTGCCTTCCACTCTCTCGCCTCCTGGGGTACCAGAGATGACATCGCCCACGAGCGGTAACCTCACTTGACCAGGCGGGGGGCGGGGGCGGCAAACGCGGCTTTGGTGAGCCGTGTTCTCACGCAACTATCCTGGCCCAAGGCCCTCTTGTGCACATACACTGAACACTCAATGCCATAGAGATACAAAGGGAAGCCACTGCGGGCCCGACCCGAAGTTGGGGACTGGGCATATTCCCACAAACGCCAAGATTCAGGGTGCAAACCGCTGAATGACATGCGCGGTGCAACCCAAAGAAATCTGGCCTGAAACGCCCCAACTGCGGCAACCGAACAAATAAACAATATAAGTCAAGGCATCTGCTTTCGTGGTTGGTTGGCCATGGGTCCGTGTACCAACCCACCTGATGGGTTTTGCCAAACAAGAAGCAACGATGCGCCTGGCGAAGAAATCCAGGCAATGGCCAGTGGCTTTTCCCGGGTGACACACGAACTATAGATTCAAGGGCTACAGTTTGGAAGCCCTTATTCTCCCGCTAAACGGCCAACTCAGGAAGCGGACTGTTTAAGCTGTCACGCTGCAGATGCGAAATGTCGTTTCTGCACGAATCCACCCCGATCCATTTTCAATTTGCATGCGTTGGTGGGTCCGGAGAAGAAACCTCTAGGAGTTGATCCCAATCCTTTTCAACCAGCATTTTCTAAAATCAGTCGGGGATGTTCGGGATGTTGGCTCCCTATCCCAAGGCATAGTTGGAAATTACGACCAGTCACTAGAACCCACCGCCGACAGGGCCACACTCAACTTCACAACCAGCTTGGTGCAGGTCTGCCAAGGCACGCTGCTGCGATCGGGCCTGGCGAGCGCTCCGGCGCATACATTCCTTTCGCCTTACAAACCACGCGAGGATGGCTTGCTTCCTGAGGCTATGCAAAGCAAGGCCTGGCGGGCCAACCTTGAGCCCCAAAAACCCAGCAGCTGTTCAGGCCGGATTCCGGATTCTTTTTTTGGAGGGGTAAAACGCCTCGTGCCCCCAGCATGCCTTGGGTGATGAATTGGGGGGTCAAACAAAACAACAACTCCAACCTGGCTGCCTCCGCGTGCTTTTCCACCACAGCTTCCGTCAGTGAAAAATTACAACGTTTGATTCATATCTACCCTCCCACCAATCAACATGGAACCTGACAGGTGGGTCCTGGAGCACCGTTTTGCGTTTAAAGAAACCCTTCTGTCCGGTTCCACTTTAAAATTGCTGGAGTCGTGAACCCGGAAGGCGGGGGATAGGTCCTGGGAATCCCACGGCTGCGCACCTCACCGTCTGCCACCATCTCGGCGGTTCTCTCCTCGGCGCGTGCGGATTTTGTCGTCCGAGCCGAGTCAAGCGGCAATCGGCGCAGTGCGGGGAGCGGGGTGGATTGGAGGGAGCAATGAATCTAGGGCAACCTTCCATTTCCATTCTTTCCAGGCAACCACCCAAAACCCTGCAAAAACAGCTGATTTTTGAAAAGAATAATGGTTGAAAAGAACGGGGAATCAACCCCTAGAATGAAGCGCAATGGTGCAGCATGCTGTACGAGGCAATGCGGACTCTTTTACTCATGCACTATCAGCCCGAGGGCAGACCCAGAATCATGGCATGTCAAGACCTTGGCCTACACTCCGACTGGCCTTGAAAATGCAAAAACCTGATCTCATCGTCTACCAGGTGCCAGATTTTACTCTGGCCTGCCAGCAAGTAAAAGCTTGCCAAAGGCTTCGCCTAAGTCTGATCCAATTTGCCTGGAACCTTCTCAGGTTCACGGCAAGTGTGGTGTGATTTGCCCGAATTTGGGGTTGCATCTAGCACGACTTGGTAGTGGTCACGTCACCGTTTGCATCAACGGATTGCGAGCATGGCCCAATCTGCAAAGCACCCAAACCATGTTAGAGTCCCACCGCAGTTTGCTCCAGAAGCTGCCCCCTAGCATGCTGAACAACACAGCGTTCACAAGCCACCTGATTTGACAACCCTTCGCAAAGTCAACGGCTTGATCTTTCCGGCTTAGGACTCCGACATGACCACAGCTTGATACAAACCTGGACACAAGGACAGGGCACCCTCTACTTCTGTGACACTTAATCGCGGCGTGCCTCAAAATGGGAGTCGGCATGCGGGACAGGTGAACCCGCGCATCCCAAAATGCCAGCTTACTTGAGGTGAGAAGACAGTGGCAGGCTTTACATAGTGCGGGGGCAAAAGATCAGCCGAAGTACCCCGCCTGGTCACATAGAAGAACGGGCATGGGGTCGAGTATCTAAAACGGACCAAGCATGATGACTCTTGAAGCTGAGTTGGGTGTAGATCAATATTAAATCTCCAGGAATTGGATCGCAGATTTTAGTCCATGTTTCCATATACCAGGGCAACCCATTTTGGGGTTACCCGATTTTTAACAGCCACAGTTCTGCTTTGCCGGGCATCCCCCCATCTGCTGGCCACCGACGCGGCAGTCTGCGCACGCCGGTCTCGGCAAGCATCCTGTCCGGCCATGAGGCGCCACACCTCAAAACCTGAAACCCTCGAAACAGTGCAGAAGCCAGGTGGCCTTTCGTGGTCCGGCTTTCAGTCTCTGGGTCATTTTGAGGCAAACACCCAAACCACAAAGTGGTTGGGCAGGAAATGGGTCTGGCTTTTTGGTCTGGCTTTTTGGGCTGGCCTGGTGCCTACCGCCACGCGGAAGGCAGGCGAGAGCCAGTCCTCCAGCCACAAGTCTCGTGGCTCCGTGAGAGGCGGCAGCTGCTTCGCTGGGTCTTCCGGGCCTGCGGCGCGCGAGGAAGGCTGGCGGCACATCCAGCTGACTGCTTCCTTTTGGGGGTTGGCCCCATGCGCGAGAGATGCGAATTCACATGGACCCTCCAACAAACAAACGATTGCCACGTAAAAGTGGACTGGGAGCTTTCACAGAAAGTTGTAGGAATTGATTTTTCACATGTAAGGGGAACAGCATGGAACAGCTAACAACCCTGGGGGTTGCTTTGAGGAACACACAAACTGGGTGATTGAAACTACATCCTGACGACCCTGTTTGGTGTTTTGAAAGGGAACTCCCCAATGTACTTCTGTTTAGAAAATCAAATGCTCCCACTGTCCTAATCTTTCATTGGGCCAGCACCCTCAGCCCTCCAACCACATCCAGTGGTTCCATTTCCCCGTAGGCACGGGTCTTTAAAACCCGAAAGGAACACGGGCGGTGTACCTGCGGCTGAGATCCAGGTGACTTTCCTGAAGGCTTCGGTTGCGGACACTAGTTCAATGCCCTACCCATTGGAACACCCGAAGCTGGGGATTCCACCAATCTGTCGGACCATGTCTTGGTTACCCCCCCAGACTCAAAACTACCTTCCCAAAATGGGTTGTCCTAGAAAATCTGGCTTTTTATGTTCGCCAATGCCCCCCCCAACAACCCCCCCTGCCCACCGGACCTGCACCCCCCCCCCCCCTTGCCCCCCACCCAACAACCCCCCTGCCCTTCCCCATTTTCGTCGAGGCTCGCCAGCGCGCGGTGTCGAGCCCCTCCGGCGGACGGCTGCCAAAGGACCGCCAGGAGCCCCCGGAGCCCGTGGCCGCCGAGAAGCTCTCGCGGCTCGCCTCGGAAAAACCGCACGGGGGAGTTTCCCGGGTCTTTGTCCGGGCGCATCAGGGGTTTGGCTGGTAACAACGGGGATTTTCCGCCAGATGTTGCGGGCAGGTGTTTCGCCTGACCTGTCCAAGGTCTTTTTTTGACCTGGTTGCAGCTGAGGTCAATTTTATTGTCTGGTAAAAACGGGGAATGTTCTTTCAGTGTTGCGGGTGTTTCGGGTAAACACCCGGGGAAACTAAAAGAAGGTACACCACTTCGGCAGAGTTTCGAAATTCCATTCCGTGGGCTCAACATGGATCATATGTTTCACAATAATTGCAAACCTGGAAGTAAGAGCCCAAAAAAGGATCTTTCTCTTCATGAGCTCGCTTTACCTGCTTGTGAGCTTGCCACAAACTAGGCAGCATTAAACCTGAGGATCTCAAGGGCTGAGGATGTGAGCAGCTTCGTTTCTGGTTGGTGTGGGTAAGTGGGTGTGGGTCTGTCTCCGTGTCCGTGCCTGTGCCTGCTTGGTTTTTGTCCAGTGTTTACCACGGAGCAAAAGCTTAGGGAGGTGCTTCGGTTTTCAGTATTGGGCGGTTTTCAGCAGGCGGGTGGTGCCCCCCGCGTTTCGTAGGATTTCTGAAGATGAACTACCTTGTTTCCGAAGGAACCCTTTTTGGGGTGATTCAAACGAGAAACTGACAGCAACACCACAATTGTTGCGGGTTCGATTCGTATGTTGAGAGAAACGGGCATGCTTGGTATCCGAGTAAATGTCTCTATGCGACTCTGTGGGGCTTCACTTTCCATGGGAAACCCACCAGAAAGCCATACCTGCAGCAACCACGGCTTGGCATAGAAACCCTCTGTCGGCCCTCCCCTCAAAAATCATTCTACTCTTCCCCCCGCAATAGGAGATCCAGCCTTGCTGCAGCTTTAGCTGTTTTCGCTTTGCTTCCCTGACAAAAAAAGGGTTGCTAGATTTCGTGCTTAACCCACGCAGTGGCAACCCGCTCAACCAGAAGGTTCGTCAGTCCTCTGTTGATTTGACGTTCGGTGCAAAGTTCAACGGCCCCAGGCATAATAATGGACAACTTTTTGGGGTAGCTGAACTGAATGGACCCCCTCAAAAAAGAGTTGAACACAGCACTGCGTGTCTGGGAATTGGGCACGGGTCCACAAACCTGGCGGTAAACAGGCAGACTCCCCCTCTCCAGAGGGAATCACCTGCCGATCGATCTCAGGCAGGGCTTTGTGGAAGTGCCCATTCACCTGCGTGGGCTTCATTTCTGTGGCTGGTTTTCCCTCCCTCCCTTCGATTCAACACTTTCATGAGGGCTTCATCCGGAAGTTTTCCATCGGCAAGCTCCTCTCGTCCCCCCAGCTCGCCGGGCGCGCTGGGAACGCTTCCCGACTTCAGGCCAGCCGCTGGCGGGAAATCCTCGTAGACGATCGCCGTGGATCCGTTGAATGGCCCGCCCACGTTGACCTCAGACATCGAGCTCTTCCAAACTCCCTTCCGTGGATTGGGCAGGCAGAAACCGGCTGAACCTGTTGCTTGTTTTACTTGGTCTGCCAAACATGGTGTTCCAAAAGGGTATAAAACCCGGGATCTCAGGGAGTGAGATCAGAAACCGCTAGAAGCAACTTTACGACTGAAACGGAAGCCTCAAACATTTCGGACCCTCATCTGATTGCTGGTGCTCAGTAGGGAATGACCTTTTGGGTGTTGGGAATGAACCGGACAGGGATCCCCATAGGGGTCATTCTAGCAAGTCTTTGGCGAAATCATGCAAACCGGCCGGCGGGCTCAGTAACACATCTTGAACCCCATGGCTGCAGCCCATGAAACCCA